ACTCCGGTTCAAGCCGTACCGATAGGACCCAATTAGACAGATGGTTAAATATTAAACTTTTCCTGCCATTCAAATATCAAACGTCTCTTGGGTAAGCCATGTACTTCATTGGGTAAGTGCTGAGCATACCAGGGCTCAAAACTTCCAATCTTCCCTAGATACTCTACCACAATTTATAGTCTTTACTCTGGGTGCAGGGGTCCAATGGAAGCTGATAGTACCCTGGGAATAAAGGTACACATCCCCAACTCCAAATACACCAGGGTCCAAGGCCGAAAGGTCCTAGGTGCTGTGTTCAGGTTGCAGTCTCTAATGGAGACGTGGGTTCGAATCCCACTTCTGACATAGACCCTTCATCCTTCTGACACAGGAAAGGTTCTCACAAAGAATTTTTTACAAGATGAATCAATTGTTAAGCACCTCTACAAGTATAATCCATGTGCATCCATGTGCACCACCTCTTCTCTTTGAGCTCTCAAGGTGGATTTATCTTGACCTTAATTCAATAGTGATCCGGGGTGGGTTCTCAAAGGCATCTTGTGGGAGCTCTTGCAGCCTAGGACAAAGCCCTCATCATGCCCACCTGCACTCTCAGGCTATTTAAAGCTTTTCAAAATCAAGCTTGGAAATGTGGCAGGAAGTCAGGATGGCCGAGCGGTCCAAGGCGCTGCGTTCAGGTTGCAGTCTCCAATGGAGGCGTGGGTTCGAATCCCACTTCTGACATGTCTGTTCTGCTTACTTGGACTTCACTTTGAACACAGGGTTGCCACTTGTGTGCTAGAAAGTGGTTGTCCATTAAAGGATGGATTCCAATCCTGTTAGTAATGTGGTGAAGCACTGTAAAACATATTAATACACTCCGGTTCAAGCCGTACCGATAGGACCCAATTAGACAGATGGTTAGATATTACAATTTTCCTGCCATTCAAATATCAAACATCTCTTGGGTAAGCCATGTACTTCATTGGGTAAGTGCTGAGCATACCAGGGCTCAAAACTTCCAATCTTCCCTAGATACTCTACCACAATTTATAGTCTTTACTCTGGGTGCAGGGGTCCAATGGAAGCTGATAGTACCCTGGGAATAAAGGTACACATCCCCAACTCCAAATACACCAGGGTCCAAGGCCGAAAGGTCCTAGGTGCTGTGTTCAGGTTGCAGTCTCTAATGGAGACGTGGGTTTGAATCCCACTTCTGACATAGACCCTTCATCCTTCTGACACAGGAAAGGTTCTCACAACGAAGATGAATCAATTGTTAAGCACTTTCATATAATATATAATCCATGTGCATCTTCCTTTCCCACAGCAACTCAAGTTTACATTTTCCTGTGTGTCACTGAATGTGTGCATTGATGACTGATAGGCATCTTCTGTCTCCATTTATCTGTTTACTTCGGTGTGTTGAATTCATGTTAATGTGTATTTAAAGACATTTGATTTAGTGGAAAAATTTAAGGGGGGAATATAAAAAAAAAAAAAGAGTCTAATCAACAAAAACATTTGTGACCCTCATGCAGTACAATTGGCTCAGAAATGTGGCCACGGACCCCCTGCTGAAGACCTCTGCTCTATAGCTTTAATAATTTATCCGATTAAAGAGCTGACTGAATAAACAAAAACGCTTTCTTAAATACTCTTGAACTTATTTTGTTTGATGTGTTGTTTGATGTGATGTTTTAGGCTACTGAATAGAATACGTGAAACACATAGAATTTCCAATCTTCCCTGGCGCAAACTTCTGAATTCTGTTAAAAGTCAGGGTATGTCGCTCTGACATACTGTCAGACTATTTGTTTCTTCAGTCGAGTAAAGTGGATACTAACTGTAAAATAGTTCTTTGTTTTTAATGTAATCCAACAATCAGCACTAGGAGAGACTTTTTATTTTGTTAGCAAATGGGTGGTTCTGCTTTCTCATAGAAGAATGTTAAAACTTGGCGCCATGAAGTCCGTTAACACAAAAACAACCTCACCAATATACCATGCTAATTGCTAGCATGCCTTTTTCTATCATGTACAAATGTTTTGCATAAATCCCCCCACTTTTTTATTATCACATCCTCACCTTATGAGAACAGCAGGGAAGTTGATGCCATGCACTAATTGAATGATAACTTAAAGAGTTAATCTAAGCATTTACGGAACAACATAAACTTATTCTGCCACCTTGTCACCATCTAAGAGTATAAATAATCCCAGACTGGACTCTGGATCGATTCATGTTTTTGCTCCAGCAGGCCTCAACTCTGGCATTACTTCTTTGGCAAAAACCAGTAAGAAGCCCGAAAACATCACAAGAATGAAATAACTTCTTTCTGAATTGGTGCTATTAATGGGGTGGGCTAACGTCAGCACTGCAGACGGGCTTGCATTAGTGCTGGCCGGTGCAGACAGGCTAACGTCAGCCCTGGCCACTGCAGAGGGGCTAACGCCAGCCATGGCCGCTGCAGACGGGCTAACGTCAGCCCTGGCCCCTTCAGACGGGCTAACGTCAGCCCTGGCCGCTGCAGACGGGCTAACGTCAGCCATGGCCGCTTCAGACGGGCTAACGTCAGCCCTGGCCGCTGCAGACGGGCTAATGTCAGCCATGGCCGCTGCAGACGGGCTAACGTCAGCCCTGGCCACTGCAGACGGGCTTGCATTAGTGCTGGCTGGTGCAGACAGGCTAACGTCAGCCCTGGCCGCTGCAGACGGGCTAACGTCAGCCCTGGCCGCTGCAGACGGGCTAACGTCAGCCCTGGCCGCTGCAGACGGGCTAACGTCAGCCCTGGCCGCTGCAGACGGGCTAACGTCAGCCTGGCCACTGCAGACGGGCTAACGTCAGCCATGGCCGCTGCAGACGGGCTAACGTCAGACCTGGCCGCTGCAGACGGGCTAACGTCAGCCCTGGCTGCTGCAGACGGGCTATTGAAAAACAAGACAAACAGCCACTCAATAAAATGAAAAAGGCTATTGCAGCCGTTGTTAAAAGTGAAAAAAACATCAACAACAAGAAAACATTTTACTCTACTGGCACAGACTCTGAGTCTGTGCTCATAGAAGCCAGCTTTGTCACAAAAACAATGCCTCAACACCTTATAAGTGGGTGAATTATACTGATGGAAGCTAAAATCGGCTGACAGCTACAGCATGTCGATAATATCATGCATTCCTTGTTTATTAATGAGATGCCATATTACAGTTTCAAGGTAATGAAAACTGAATTCTGTTCAGTCGAGCTTTTTTCAACCACTTAGAAAAAGAGGTGGTTCCAACTATCGCCCACCTCCCCAAAAACAAAAAAGAAAAAAAAACAAGCTAGACTTAAAAGCAAACCAGACAGCAGAGTTTTGGGTTTTCCTTTTTACTAAAAGTCTGGAGCCAGAGGTAAGCTTCAGGATACAAAGAAATCCTGCTGGGCTTTTCAGACAAGACAGGTACAAGGTATGGAAGGCATACACCGAGAGGCAGGGCATTATGTAAAAAAAGCACATTTTAAGTTGAATTAAATTGAGACAGGCGTCTTTACATATATTTATTGTTAATTCTCCCCATTAGCAAACAATTTTGCAGTGAATAAATGGTACATATCTTCTTCCTTCTATAGTTCGAAACAAAGTAATTTAGAATGTTTTTAGAGCATAAACAGTAGTGTATGGGATTTCCTAAAAGCACGCGCCTGCGAGTTCACGACTCTACGGAAACCGCGGCAGACCAAACCAGATGAAAGTGCGCATTCAGCGTCTGCTCTGCCGATAATGCAAGCGTAGAAGAAGAAATGTGCTGTTTACCTATGCAAAGAAAGAAACAACGAAAGAAAAATGTCTGAGGACTTCAGTGTTGAGGAAGAGCATGAGTTCTTTGCCGAGCCACTGAATGCGCACTTTCATCTGGTTTGGTCTGCCGCGGTTTCCGTAGAGTCGTGAACTCGCAGGCTCGCGCTTTTAGGAAATCCTATACACTACTGTTTAGGCTCTAAAACATTCTAAATGACTTTGTTTCAAGTAAATTATGGACGCTACCCACTCAGGACACTTGGATTACATTGGACGAGCAGTATGGAGGAATATTGACACGTTTTTTGTGGACTTTTATGGACCTTTCTGCCTCGGGCGCTGGGCACCTCCATTATTTGAATGTCAGCAGACAGCAAGAAGCCTCCCAGATCTCCAGATGCATTTGAGATATCAAAAAAGTACTCCAGAGTGTTGTACAGCATGGGGGTGAGTAGAAAATGAAGGCTAATCATGTTTTGGGTGTACTATTCCTTTAAGGCCGTCTATTGCCTCATTTACACTGGCCCTCTGAAACCGATCCATCCCGAGTTCGGACTGAGCTTGGATCAATTAACAGGGCCGAGCTTGGTTCTTACGACCATTAACCCTTTACGCTAGCACAATTCCTCGCCTCCTATTGGTGGCCCACGACACTAACACAAACAAAAATGGCGGCGCCCATAACATTCATGAATTTCTGTGCCTTGATAGCAGCCTCCGCCCAGATTTCATTGAGAGCCTTGGTCTCGGCATCATCCCAGGTCGCACCACCCTCTTCTGTTTTCATTCATTGTGAATATTCTGAGAAGAACTCTGTCTTGTTAACAGGTGAAGAGATCTGTGAATTGCAAAGCCGCACACAGTGGAAAACCCACAAAAAGAGTCAGCTAACTGTAAATAGCAGATGACGCTGTCTGCATTAGTACCAGTTTATCGCGGCTCGGTTTTGTCTGGCACGGTCCAGTTCAGTTCCGTTCCATTTACACTCAACAGTTATCTCAGTTACTGTGCTCAGACTGTTCTCAGCACGGTTTCAAATGGGTAGTGTAAATGGGGCTTATGTTATCCTGTTATTTGTCATGTCCTGTTTGTTGGACGTTTGGTACTTTTAAATTTGCATATCTATTTAAATTTTATGTATCTGTTAAATTGCATTTGAAAATATTCAAACTGAATTTTTTTTTGTATTTCCATTTTTACAAAACGTGTTCTTTTCTTGCAAAAATAATGGGACAAAATTTACTCCATACTTTTTAATCCAAGGGAGTGGAATCCAACCATCCTTCAAGAGTTTTTTTAATGATTCAGGAGCAAGAGATAGACACCTTAAAGTTTCACCTCAAAGGTGTGGAAGTTTGATGTAGTTGCTAGTTAACAAAAACACAATGATACTTTACATCTTTGTCACAGTCAAACCTTTGTCCATGTCTGTAAGAAACCAGGGAGCGATTGAGGTACATCATTTATCATCCAGGAACATGGATACAGCAACTGCTCTGGGTGGGACATATGGATGATAAACTAAAAGAAAGCAATCTTCAGAGTGCTGACCTCAGAACAACTTCTGGTTTCATTTCTACATGAGCTGCATGTTAAATTTATCATTAGACTGGATCATTACAAAGGACAGTTTGAATAATGGCTGCCTGCTTGCCATTGCATTCATTTACAAATGTTAAGATTCTGCAGTGCTTCAGGTCAAAAGAAAACAATCCTGCTAGACCTAATTATTCTCAACAATTAAAGAAAATAGATACTTTAATAAACCTTTTAGGTTCATAAATATTCAAACGGTGTTCGCCAAAGGGCGATCAGCAGAAGAGGCTGATTTTGTATTTTTATTCCTAGATATAAGATCTCTTTTTGAGATTTGAGCAAAATAAAGATCTCTGCTTCCACAGAAAATAGGAGCTTGTCTTAGCAAACTCAAAAAGGAAAGGTCTGAGGTCTTTCGTGTCAGTGCTGGTGGCTGCTTTGCCTTGCCTCTAGGTTTCTATCCTGCTGGTATATCTAAATCCAAAATTCATTTTATTTTTACAAAATAGAAAGAAAAACAAAGATTTACTTCAGAACAACGGTTGTACAAACTGACCATTTTTTAAAAAGTCCAGCTGGTTCAGGAGGCTCCTTTAGGGTCTGTCGACATTTTTTTTTTTAAAGAAAATCTTTTTGTTTCTTCGTTAGACCTGACGGAGGTTCTCTCCATTAGAAACAGCAACAACTTTTCATTCCGATCTTTTTTCTCCAGAAACTAGCGAGCTGCTTCCAGTTCAGAGTTCATTTCAGTCTGAATCTTTTTGATTCATCCCTGGACTGATGATGAAGGACCTGCAGACCAGTACAGATGGGTCCCACATTAGAGACCTAGAGAGAGGGATTGGAGACATTTCAGTACAGATCATTTCAGCTTAACTGTATTTTATGTGCTAACAAATGTATAGCTAATTCAACAAATTAATCTACAAATTTTAATTACACAGTAAAGTTACTAACTCAAAGAACTAGGCTGCATGAGGTGAAGTCAACCTCCGGTTATTACAGAGCTAAGTTAATGTGTAGGTGTGCAGTGGGGGAGGGGTGACGGGGCTTCAATTATATAAGCACACATCACTGTAGAAAGCTGGTTTAATGGTGTTCATGGATAAAAGATCAAGGCAATTTAAAGATGGAGTGAAACATTTAATCAAGTGCTCTTCTGTCATTTATTACCAGCAATTAGCCTGATAAACCAGACTAAATGTGAGATTAAATGTGTAATTTAGTCTGGCCCCGTTGAATGGGACATCGGAAGATTGTTGATGAGAACAACCCGTTGTTTTTCAAACCATGTCTGTGCCTATTGGCCAACGCTCTGACCAATGAGCACAACTGACTGTGACGTAGTAAATGTGACAGAAAGCTGGTGAGGGAGTGTAAACAAACAGCCTGTCGGTAAAACGGCAATTACAACCTTCTAAAGAATGAATGACCGTAGAGCTTCTTCCTGCTCACGTTTCAACAAAAAACCCAAGTCTAATCCTTCCAAAAACGATTCCAAAGCTGAGTCAGAAACCACCACCAGAGCCAGCGTTAGCCCTGGCTGCCGTTAGTCCCGGAGCTCCGCTGGTTGCCGCGGTCCTCTCAACTTCGGAAATAAATAGGTAAATGGACCATATAGTGACGCTTTAAAGTATAATATTCTCACCTCAAATGGTCTTAAAATATATACCTTTATTGAGCAACAGCAACAGAAAAGAGAACTTTGAACTTTGGAGTACTCCATTAAAAGCCGCTGCCGCTGCTGCATGCTACTGTTCAATAGTTGTTGCCATCTTCCTTGCTGTGCTTTCTCCAGCGTCGCCCAGCGTTGTCGTCACGCCCTCAAAAACCCGCCCGCTTTGCATCCAGAAATTAAAAACACATCTCTGCATTGTGATTGGCCCACCAGTTCTAGGGTCTGGGGCATTGAGCGAGGCTAGACCACTCGCAGGCGAAAATGATTTCGGCCGCTAGCGGGTTTTTACTAGGCTAACCGTCAATACTAGAGTCTTGAAATATTCAGATACTAGTCATTAAAAGTAAAGCATTATTTTAGAAGAAACACTTTCTTTTGCAGGTTCTGTTTTTTGCCACAACAAACCCAGAAGTTTCACTTCACTCCAGGGTGTTAGCAAATGTGGCTGATATACACAATCAAACGGATAGCAATACCGACAAAAAATACGCATGAATCTACGACAAGTGACTAGATATCAACGGATGACAAACAGAATTTAGTCGACAAACAGGTCCTGGATCTGCTGCCCCGTATGTTTGAGCCTGATGCCTCATCGGAGGATGAAAATGAAGGGGAAGGTGGAGCTGATGGGGATGAAGAGGATACAAGAAAGAGTTGGCGACTGAACATCACAATCCCAATGGTAGGTGTTAAAACGGCGTGTTTTTAATCAGTAAGATGAGGTCTAACTGACTTAATTAAGCTTTAAACAAAACACACCTGATATGGCTCAGCTGACGTATGTGCATATTGAGCTATTCCTAAATACTACTGTAGCCTTGTTAGCTATCTATTGCCAATAGTAATCATGATAATTATGTATTAACCAAACTGTTGTGGACCTACTGTACGTACTTAAGACCCCAAATGCAATTATCTAGACTAGACTAGGCTAGGCTAGGCTAGGCTAGGCTAGGCTAGGCTAGACTAGGCTAGGCTAGGCTAGGCTAGACTAGACTAGACTACACTAGACTAGACTATAATAGAATAGAGTAGAATAGAATAATAAACTGAGGAGAAAGGTTACTCACTTCAGGTTAGGAGGTGTGTGCTGCTACGTCTGCAGGTTGGCCTCCTGCCCCGATCTTACCACCCTCCGGATATTATTGATTGACAGATACATCTCCTCCTCAGGATCATAGTAATAAAACTTACTCAGATAGGAGATCAGTGATCTTTAAAAAAGGTAAAGAGAAAAAAGGAAACATATGTTCATCAAGAAATCTTACAGACAAAAGTACCTTAATTAACACTTTTAAAAGTAGAATCAGGAAGCAGAAAAAGGAATGTTAATTAGGATGTACTGATAAAAAAAAGTAAGGCTGCTGAAGGTGATTTTAATTTATTAAGATTTCCCTCTAATATTTACTGCATAACAAGATAACCTTGAAAAGTGTTTCCTATTTTTTCTGGTAAGTAGATATATCTGTTGTTTGTATTATGAGAAGTGGCTGTAAAACAAAGCTTAATTTTAAAATGGAATAAAATCGCAGTTGACATTTTAAACTGCCTACAGCATCTTATTTTAGTAATTAGTTCAGGTAGTATTTTAACCTATAAAGGATGCTCTCTATGTTATTGTGCACAGTCAAGAATAATGAATCCATACCTTAAACTCTGAGATTTTCACCAGGCAGAAAACATTTTTAAATGCAGTAGGTTTCATAGCAGACGGAGCCTAAAACCTCTTAAATAAAATAGATTTCAATAGCTTTGCCTTCCTGCTTTCTATCAGAAGTGTTGCTCTCTCTTGCCCTGTTGCTGCAGCCATCTGGTAGGCCTTAAGCCAGCTATAGACTGAGCAATTATCTGCTGTTGCATATGACATATTGGGGCTCGTTGAAAATGGAGGACACCTTGGTTGTGTCTCTAAATCTGGGCTTACATTGCACTGTAAGGTGGGTTCTAGGCCTCTCATTTCTAGCATTCTGGGACCAAAGATGACATGCAGATGACCTGACAGTGTCTGATATTTTGAATTTTGACCTCACACTGTGAAACCTGCTAAAGCCTATGTCTACTGATCAGCCAATAGGAATGCAGCTGCTGCCAATGCGTCACATTAATATCCAAAACAGAAGATATATGTGAGGCTATGTATTGCTAGGATTTTTTTAATGATCCACAGAAGAGGATGTGCAAAAAACAGCAGCATAGAGGTAAGTGTTGAATATGCTAATAGCGATTAGCCCAATAAATGTCCATCCACCTTCCCCCGCGTATTCCAAGAGAGTGGTGGTGGGGCCAGTGCCTATCTTCAGCAGACTATTGGCGAGAGCTTGGGAACATCCTGGAAAGGTCTTCAGTCTATCGCAGGGCAACACATAGACATACAAACATGCACACACACGCTCACACTAAAAGACAATCTAGAGATGTCAATTGACCTAACAGTGAAATTTTAGACTGCAGTAGATAAGCCGAAGTACTTGAAGAGAACCAACATCTACACAGGGAGAACATGCAGAAAGAACCCGGGTCGGGAATCAAACCCTGCACCTACTTGCTGCAAGGCAACAGTGCTACAAACTGCAGCACCATGCAGCCTTCCTATTGGCTTTGTTGATCTTTAAGCGTTAAAGAATAATATATCATTGTGTGTGAGATGTATATACAAAGATTATTTATCTACTTATTCACTATGAGAATCATCGTCAACATGGAACGGCAAGAACATATACAGAGTTTTGGCAAAAGGGGTAGGAGAAACTGCTGAATGCAAATAGTGTTACTCAATAACTGGTGAAAACCTTTATACCTGTTTAATGACTGTAGCCACTATCAATACTGTAAAGTAATTTGGGTTGGGAGATAAAAAATATTTTTTTCATCTCATGCACTTAGAGTTACGCAAGCACACACTGATAAAGTTGCTTATTTTTTGTAGGACGTAAGTAATTTAATAGTAAATTGTGATTGCACAATGTGCACATATCCAATTTAATGCACCAGTGATGAATATTTCCATGTCATATAGTGTAAAGGAAGGGAGTCAGGCAGGAGGCATTCATTATGAGGGTTAGGGTCAGAATTAATTAGAATTTTTAAGTTTCTATCTGGCCAGTTACAATTCAGGGTGGATCATGCATTGGACAGTTCTGGTCATCAGCAGATTCCTCAGGTCATTTCTAAAATATAGAAAAATATTCTATGTTCACATAGAGGACAAATATGTCCCAAAGACAAAGAAGGTTTTTTTAGATGATGAAACATTAACCTTAAATAACCTGTGCAGGGCTGAATACCTGGGCAGTGGAAGCTCTTGAATGTGGTCGATACGGACTATTTGCCGGATGCAGAAGCGACAGAGGTGCTGTAATGACTTGACGTTGCTGAAGCGAGATACAGGATAGAGCAGCTGAACAGGAGTTGGGGGAAGCCCTAAAAAACAAAGAGTGAAAGACAGTCAGCATCACTCTGCTACAGGACGTGCTTTGACTTTAGATACGCTTCTTGTCCAGCAACAGCTGCATTACTGCATTTATCAAAACTCATCTTGCAATGGACTCATTTCTACTTTAGGCTGTGCATCAACAAAAAAACAACAAACAAATTCTAATTCTCTACCTGGCAGATGATCCTGTATGGTGATACTAGATACCATAGCATATGAAAACTATTTATAAAGCACTTTAAACTCCCAACAGGACCAAACATACAAATGGTCAATCATAAAATAATAAATAAAGCGGTACATAAAGGAAGTACTTTAATAAAGCAGTAATAAAATAATAAAAGAAGCACAGTAAGACAAAGTCAACCTCTCAGATTCTTTCAAAAGCCAAAGAAAAGAAATTGGCCTTAAGAAGAGATTTATAATCAGAAAGTGAAGAGGCCTTTCTAGTGTCCAAGGGAAGCCTGGGAGCTGTTATGGAAAAAGCACAGCTCCATTTGAGCTTCGGATCTTACAAGGAATTAGATGAAGAAATGATGGTAAAGCTCTGGAGGAGTTTTAAGATGTGTTTATGAAGTTTCTAAGCTCTCTTTTCTCCTGTGTCTCTGTCCCTCTCCAAAATATGATTGTGTCTATGATTGTCTTTCTCTGTGTGTTGCTAGGGGATAGGGTCCATCCATCTATAAACTAGTCTAGGACGAAGTGAAAGGAAAACAAACCTGTAGATCATGTTTTTTTTTTTACCTGGGACTCTGGAGCGGAGGAAGTAGAGGAATTTGCCATTCTTGGAGTGCATGATAGCGCGCTCGATGAATTCCACCACAGAGTGGCAGCGGTCTTCAAACTTCGGGTGACACCACAGGCTGAATGTCCCTGAATGCAAAGACAAAAAAACTCAAGATCCTAACAAACGCCAAAGCCCAATTTAAGATTGTTTCTACAAATACTGTAAAATTAAAACACATTTCAATGTTTTCTGAGACAACGTATGCAAAAATGCTTGATCTAATTTCCATAAAATGCCTTTGCAACACATGCATGACATCTCCTATTTTGATTTATGAAACGCATCTCAGATGACAAATGGTTACAGGACACAAGGAAGGAATGGGGCAGAAAACTGAACAGCTTTGTGTCATGGGTTCATGTTTCTACAATCAATAGTAATCAATATTAATCATAGTCTGCATCAAAGCTTGTAATACGGTACAAAGAAAGAGGACATGAGAAAGACGATCGCTAGTCAGGTTCGGTAAGAAATAGAAATGGAGGAAAAAGAAATCTTATGAAGTTTATCAACATTTTAACCTCCTCAAACAGTAAAATAGTTAATTGCCTGTAATTATATAGTGCATTTTGAAGTCAGACAACTTGAACAAAGCTCTTTACACTACATTCAGTCATTCATACACTCTCAGACTCATGGTTGCGAGCTACATTGTAGCCACAGCTGCTCTGGGCTCACTGACAGAAGCGAGGCTGCGGTACACTGGCGCCACTAGTTACCACCATCAGTAGGCAACGCAGGTGAAGGGTCTTGCCCAAGGACACTACCCGACAACCCAACATCCCTCCAATTGCAGGGCAAACCCTTTCAGCCGACGCCACTGTCACCCCAAGACAAGTTTTGAGAATGGAGATGGATGGAGTTGAAGTTAAAGAAGGATGTGAGTCAGTTTGTTGTAAAGCTGTATGTATCATCTGCATAACCGTGAAATGAAATCTTGCGGTGAGTGATGATACCACCAAGGGGGAGCATGTGAACGAGATGGAGCTAAGGAATGAGCCCTGAGGAACCCCACAATTGACTGCATGAGTTTATGACCTGGCTTTTCAAGTGGAGACATATTCTGATCTCCCAGCGAGATAGAAGATAAACCAATCTAAGGCACCGCCAGTAAATCCTGTGGTGTACCGAAGATGGGGGAGGATTATTATGAGGTCCACAGCGTCAAACGCTGCTTTCAGGTCGTAGGAATCATTAATGAAGGAGAGCCAGCACCAACATCAACTGCCATTAAAGACTTTGTTTGCTAATATAAGTGACTTAAATGCCATGGCTGAGTGAGTAAGTGTAGCTCTAAACTCAAAGGGTTTTTATGCATGATGCTGTGTATTATGCAATTCAATTTGGCCAAATTAAGTATTATAAATTTTTATGGTAAAAACTGCAAAACAGTTTCTCAAGATTCTGCTGATTTGGTTTCACAACCTCTTGTTTGTATTTCATTAATCAGTTTCATCCTGCGGTTGAAAGGAAAAATTTTTTAAAGGATATTGTTAATTACTTTCACCAAAACAAATGGTCATATGAAGGGTACTTTAGATATTGTTAACATAAATCAGATAAAGTGGAAGTCCTTTAGCTTGGACTTCTTGCTTTGGTTACGATATTAGGACATCTGGAGCTCTGATGTACAAAAACATGAAGACTGAAGTTTAGAGGGTTATCTCCTCTAAGGCGTGATGATTTTTTTTTTAGTAATCAATCAGCTAACGATGTAAGATGTGAGTGTGAGGCGTCTTTACCTCGATAATGTTCCATACGAGTGTGATGTGTGACTCCCTGCGATCTGAAGCTGAGACTCAGGATGTATCGGGGGTCCGAACTGTCTCGGACCAAAAACGATCCGTCCAGTTTGCCCTTCAGCTTCACCTCCGCATCTTCCCAGTTCATAGGACCCCAGTACCAGCCGCACTGCAAGCAAACACAACACAGAAGAACAGTTCTTCTCTGTTTCTCACATCTCAAATTTGTTGTATAAACCTGTCAGAAGATGGAGATAAATGACATTTTAACCATAATTTGCTTTGCTTTCAAACAGAAAAATGTGTTTTCACTGGTTTCTAATTATTTCATGTGTTTATTGTCATGTAAAGCAAGCTAACGAGAAGCTAATAGCGACCATATGGCAGCCAACTCAATGCTAAGATGTTTAGATCTGCTGTAAGCCAAATTTTATTTCAACAAGAGTTTAAACAGTAATATGATGTTGATGTTTCTGTTTCCAAATATGCTCAATACGTTTGATTACTAAATGATGACTACAGAGCAAAATCAACTCAAGATTTTTACTCAAGTAAAAGTGCGAAAGTACCATTTTTAAAACTTTGAGAATAAAAGTAAAAGTAATGTAGGAAAAAATGTTGAGGACAGAAGCTTTACTGCACTACCCTATTAAAGAAACATTTTTCTACAATTCTGGATCATGAATTCCTTAAACTTCAGTGCACTCCTCTCTACTTGCTCTAAATAAAACCTGTTTAACTTTTCCCTGGTCTCTCTGTTTGGTCTTCTGCATTTGGGTCAGATCTTTAGTTAAATCATGACATAGTTAAAGGCTAATTTGATGTAGATTTAAATTCTCAAACATAAACTTTGTTTCTTAAATATAAAATCAATGCTGAAATGTTCATTGCATCATGTTATTGATTATTGTTTTCAGCCATTTTCATTTATTTTCGATATGTACTTAGTAGCTTAGTTTAGTTGAGTTTACTAGTTTAGTCAATAGTTTAGTTTGATGCCTGGAGTTGAGTTTTTAATAAATGTTACTATTTTAAACAGACGTTGTGTGCAGAGTTAACAGATGGACCAAGATTTGAGAGCAAATCGCACTTTAATTTGTTGTCCTAACACCAGCCAGCTGGGTGTGCGTTCACAAAAACAGATAATAACATAAGTCACAATAGCATTTGATTGCATGAGACAGTAAAGGTGTGGTTTATACCTACTAGTTATCTGCAACAGTAATGTAAAGAATTTATTTAGTGAAGAACAACAACTATAAAAATTGATAAATAGAAAAAAATACAATTTTATTAGAGTAGACAATCAGATATAATAAACAGTAAAATATCAACATTATCTTTTTTTTATACAGATAACTTTGTTTGTGAGAAGTTTCCACGGGTCCTACTTAGTGCTAATCTGTCCCCAAGACAAATATGTTATTTTTCTTGTTTAACTAAAAAAACATCTTTATAATTAAAGAGTTTGATTTAAAAAGAAATGCAAAATTTCTTAGTGAAATGTGTTTTTTTAATGTTTATTTGGCAGTGCGGGGGGGACCCTTGTTAAACTGTGGTTTCTCAGGGACCTTCAGCCGGCCCTGATACTCGCATCACGTGATATTTTTCCTGTCTGTAGAATTACAGTTCTAGTTTTAACACCGTGAAATGACAGCGGGTCGTACCTTTTCCAGCTCTCTCAGACTGGCTGTGAAGTTGCTGGCTTCAGATCGCCGCAGAGCACACAGCACAGGAGGAGCGGCTTGTCTGACCGGTGGGACAGCACCCAACGACGATGAATTCGAATGAGGAAGGGCCCGGAAAAAGGCATCTGAAGTGGAGAGGGTGAAAAGGGAAGCGTTTTTGAACACAGCTATAGATACGTGAAGGACCCGACCCAAAAACAGACCCTAAATCCCACAGCTCTCATCATTCACATCTTACCATTGAGGCTGAGACTGTGCTGGATGGTGGCTTGGGAGGGGGGAGGAGGAGGAGGGTGAGACAGAGGGAGGGATTGCAGGGAGGCACCCACAATACTGACAAGGAAGGGCCCAGGCTGAGGCCCTGATATGTCATCTGGAAGAACAACAGCAGGGAAAGGTCGGAGAGAGGAAGCAGAGAGGGGAAAAGGAAAACAAATACATTGATGTTAGGATAGGAAATGAGGAAGAACAAAAGAGGGGACAAAGGTTTTTATCTGCACCATCAGTTAAAATGAGAATCAACCATCCAGCAATTAATGACGTTAATGACAAATCTTCCTCATGCTCAAAGGTTACCTGTGGAGTACCACAGGGATCAGTGCTAGGACCAATTCCTTTGACTATATATATGCTCCAAATCAATAGAGGTATGGGATTAGTTTCCAATGTTATGCTAATGATACCCAGTTATATCTGTCTATAAATCCAGATGAAGCTAACCCATTACATAAATTACAGGTATGTCTTAAAGACATAAAAATCTGGATGACTCTTAACTTTCTGCTTCTGAATGCAGACAAAACAGAAGTTATAGTCTTTGGACCAGAGTCTTTGAAAAAGAAACTGATTAGTCAGTCACTTCATTTGGATGGGATTAAACTGATTTCAGATAATAAAGTAAAAAATCTTGGTGTTGTTTTTGATCAGGACCTGTCATTTAAATCCCATATCAAAGAGGTTTCTAGAATTTCCTTCTTTCATCTGCGGAATATTGCAAAAATTAGAAACATCCTGTCCAGGGGTGATGCTGAGAAACTAGTCCATGCATTTGTTACTTCAAGGCTGGACTATTGTAATTCTTTACTATCAGGAAGTCCACAAACTGTAGTTAAAAGCCTTCAGCTGGTCCAAAATGCTGCAGCCAGAGTTCTGATGAAAATTAAAGAGAGAGATCATATCTCTTCTATCCTGGCTTCCCTTCATTGGCTTCCTGTTAAATCCAGAATAGAATTTAAAATCCTCCTTCTCACATATAAAGCCTTGAATGGCCAAGCTCCATCTGATATCAGAGATCTGATTGTTCCTTCTGTTCCTAACATATAGTTAGAGTGGCTCAGGTTATGCTGAGCTATCTCTATAGTGATGCTGCTATAGGCTTAGACTTCTGGAGGACAATCAACGGGTTTTCCTTAGATAGAAAACGTTGAATCAGTTTGATCTGGTGAACTGTAAAGTGCCTTGAGATGACTTATGTTGTGAATTGGCGCTGTATAAATAAACTGAATTGAACTGAAGTTTTCTTTTCTTATTTTTATTAACAGTTAAACAGGAATAGCTCACAGCCAATCAGATTAGATGGAAACTGTCCATGACCATCCCCTTAGGCATCTTCCACAGATTCTGCCTGATTTATGTCTGGACTTGAACTGGGCCTTTCTAAAATAAATATGAAATAAGAAAAACAAAAAACATGGCAGCTCAGACTGTATGGTGTTATACCGGTCTCATCTGACCCGCTCATCCTCCTCCATGTGCTATGTTAAAAACTACAGGACTATAGTAAGGCTTAAGAACCTAACTCTGCTTCCCTGACCGTCTGCTGGGTTTCTTGGTCAGGGCATCGCTCTCTAATGTCCGAACAAACCTCTGTGACATCAACTGTTTGCGCATGATTTATTCAGGGGTAATGGGTTGTCAGTGTTTGGTGTCTGTCTGTAGCTTAAACTACAGGTAAGAATAACTAAGGAGGCATTTTATTTCAAAACATCCCAAAAAGCGAAAGGAATTTTGTTAGATAATGACTAATTACTGAAATGAAAAAAATATTTTTTCAAATGCAACAGGAGATTTGCATAAATCACATACTAGATTTAATATTATAATGTCATATCTATACTCTACTACCACAAATTATCTTAAATCAAGTAGTAATTTCTTTATTTTTTAATTTTTTTCTTTAAATAAATGTGTTTACCCTTAATTTGAGCAGATGAGTAAGATATTCTACCAATAGAATGAGTATTTTTGCCCTAAAAGAATATATTATGCTCTTGAAATAAGATAATGTAGTTTGGTTTTTTCTTATTTAGGTTGTCTTAGTTAACTGCTCACATAAAGGGAAAGTACATTTATTTCAAGAAAAACTGAAAAACTGAAAAACTTTTGCAGAGAAACTAGTATATGAAATGTCTGCATAGTGTTTAGTATCAATCCAGAAAAATAACTGCCGACAGATGAACCTTTAAAAGCAGATAAGAGCTTGAGAGACTGTGAGGTCAATCAGAGGCTTCAAATTATATCTGTTGTTCATTGCCGACCTTTCAACTCTCCTCCAGCCAGATTACAGCAGATTTAAAAATAAAAATTCCGGAGTGTTTTGGATTAGAGCTGGAGAGAAATATCAAGACAGAATTGCCCCTCTGCAATGATTTCTCTTTTTTTTTTTTTTATTATTATTATTTTTTTTTATAAAGACCCCTAGATAAAAACCTTCAAGGCTCTGAATTGATTTGGCATATTCACTGCTTAGATAGGAGGGAAATATGGAGTGAAAAGGATACCTAATAGACTGAGACTTCGGCGCGGAGGAGTGGGAGGGTGTGGAGTGTTTGTCCCTCGTAGAGAAATATCCACATCCACCAGGGATACAGTTTCACCTGAGGACACAGAGGAGCAAATGGGAGGACAGGCTTCAAAACACGGAGGGACAGGAAGTTGGAAAAACAGAAGCAAAGCTTTAATGGTGGTATGTATCGTTTCAGTAGATACATTTACATCAGGGACCAAAATAATCACATGTGGCGTTCACCAAGGGTCTATCTAAGAGCCCCTTCTACTCAATATCTACAATATTTGTTATTATAACTATGCAGATGTCACAGGGCTTAAGTAATCATTTTTGGACTAAAGGAAGAAGATTTAAAGAAAGCAAACTGTTTCAGTTAATCCAGCTAGAAACCAACAATCAGGCTCTAAATCTGGGTGTAGTGATGCACTTCAGAGGCTCAAAAAAAAAGGAACAAACATTAATCCTTATTTATCTTCATATACTGTATATACCTTGATATACTGTCTACATATTGTTTAATATTCTTAATGCACATTTTTCCTCCTTGTTAGCACCTTCTTTAATTACTAGGCCAATATGTGACCAGTGACTTTCTCCGCTGTGAGATCAATAAAGCTCAGCTAATCTAATCTAATCTAATCTAATCTAATCTAAAATCAGCCTTCTATCACCTAAAGAACATCTCCAGGATTAAAGGACTAATGTCTCAGCAGGAGCTTGAAAAACTAATTCCTGCTTCATTCATCCTCACTAGAATTGATCCCTGCAGTGGTGTCTTCACAGCTGATCCAGAATGCTGCTGCCAGTGTCCTCACTAGAACTAGGAAAGTGGAGAACATCAGTCTAGTTCTAAAGTCCTCCCACTGGCTCCCCTTATCTCAGAGAATAGACTTTAAAATACTCCTGTTAATCTATAAATCACTAAATGGTTTGTCTCCAAAATACATTACAAATTGATAACAGTAGATCAAGGTCTTCTTGTTTTAATCTATTCTGCGTACCCAGAACTAGAGCCAAACATGAAGCAGTTTTAATTATTGCACCCTACTAATCTGGAATAAACTGCCAGAACACTGTGAGAATTGTGAAAGATTACATTTATTTAAATCTAGATTAAAACATATTTGTTTTGACTGTGCTAGCTAAACATCATTGGTTTTTAGTCCAACTTTACTCTCATTTTTAATCAATATTTTTCAAACACAAGATTGTCTTATTGTAACTATTCATTTCTAGAGTTTGTAATATTTTTGTAACTCTTATGCCAATGCAATGTATATATCCTTTTCTTTTTTTTTTTTATCATGTCGAGCATTTTATATTGCCCTGCTACTGAAATGCTCAATAGAGAAAAAAAGCCTCCAGCTTGTTTGTCTCCATAGTCTGGTTCTGTTTGCCACAGCGGCAGAAACCAGTCATCTTTAAGCCAAAGGCCCCTTTAGAAGCTGCAGCTGCAGTGGAGGCCCCAAACTCAGCCCTTGTTCCATGGGGCCACAGGGTCAAACTCAGTACCAGGTGATGATCGATAAACAGCTGCAGGAGAGATCAGTCATCGACCTTTAACTCAAAGTGACCTGGTACCAGGTGCATATATGAATCCCCCTGCATTAAAACATGGTGATCCATCATGAAATTTCCTTCCTAGTAAAAAAGTGCAAAGGCAAAATGCTGCAGATTCCGATTGAGGGCATTGGTGTCCCCAGCGAGCACCACAGGATTCCCAGAAGGCACTGCTTCTAGGACACCATCTAGAAACAGTGACCACTGAGTTATTTGGAAAAAAAAAATTCCATCAGTGACAACAAATAAATTAGTGATGAATTGTGTTTTGATTAATTCATGGAGAAAAAAAATCCTGGAACTAAAAGATTTTGCTTCTGAGAAAAACAGATTTTTTTTAATAAAGTCAGCATATTTATTTTAACCAGATCAGCTCCAAGCCTCCTCATCATTTTTACACGAGCACTCTGTCCTAAATAATTAAACACTAATGCAATGGTGAGATGGTCAGGTCAGCTAAACAGGGTGACTGAAGGGCACACACATGTAAATACATGATTTAACAATGCATTGAAAAACCTAAAAATCAGAGTAACAAACAAAAAAATGCTGCAAAGAAGAAAAGCTGCAATCACAGTAAATAGAGAGCAGCAAAGTGAACACGGATCGGGGACATTTTACATGCAGGGAGGCACAACATGTCCAGTCAGGGTGGCAATGCTGCACACCTTTACTGCAATGTGGAAGTAAATGTGATATAAATGGAACCAACACAACACTTTAATTCTTTTATTATGTAATTTTGTCTTCTAAGAAACAAAAACCACTAGGGATGCACGATATTGGGATTTTGGCCGATATCCGATATGCCGATATTTTCAAACTCATGTAGCCGATAACCGATATCGATACCGATGTTAAAGATGGATAAAAATAAGTAGTCATTGAAAATAGCAGTTTTATCCATTTCTGACACAAAAATAATATACTCAAATATATTTTTATACGCTGATATCAAATTGATTTTTAAAAACGCGGTATCGATCTATTTTACTTTCAAAATCTCATGAAATTTCATCGTTCTGTTACAAACTCTCGTGATATTTTGCAAATTCTTGTGAGATTTTGTTTGTAAAATAGATAGATACCGTTTCAATATATCAACATATAAAAATTTGGCAAAATTTCGTGAATTTTCGGGGGATTTCGTAGCATAACGATGACATATAGCAATATTTCATTAGTAAAAGAGATTGATATGGTGTTTTTAAATGGCAATATATCAGCATATGAAGATATTGTGATATTTGAATGTATCAATATTTTTTCCCTCGTCTTTAGAAGTTTTTAAGTCTGTAAAAGTTTTTGAGGAAGAAGAAGTAGTTTTTTTTTTTTTTAGACTTTAGAAACTCAGAAGCTGATCAAATATCGGGTTAAATATCGGTGGGGTGGCCGATGTCCGATATTCAGTTTTAAGGCCGATACAGGCCGATACCGATAGGGGGCAGATTATATCGTGCATCCCTAAAAAACACCTTTAGGTACAGGGTAACTGAAGAAAACAACTGTTCCACAAAATAAAAACATAAATAAATATAAAAAAAGAACTTGAATTACTAGACTGGACTGATTTTAATCAATACGGTGATTAAAATGTGCGGATCAACAAAACATATAAGAGAATTAAATCTAACATCTCTGAAACTTAGAGAATTAACACACACCAGGTGCTCCCTCTGGGTTCCCTGAATGTTCCTCCTCTTCTTCATCAGTCTCCTCTGCATTTTCCTCTTTCTCTCTGTTTGACTCTAAAATCTTTACCACCTATACTAACATAATTTCACAGTCACTCATTTTTTCAGACTGTGCAACTCTTTGGACATTCTGGGAATGCATTATTTATTATGTTTTTATCTAAATTCAGACTTGTGGAACATCTGATATCATTTTATGTTTTTAATCATATAAATGGTGGAAGAAAAATCAATATTAGCTTAAATAATGGGACCAAAAAATGGGCAGCACGTGTCGGCGATCAGTTAGACTGACGTCAAAGAAATCGACCTTAGAAAACCTGCATCAGTTGATCTCTGTTTATGTGTTATCATGTTACAATACGTTTAGTTTCTCCAAGTGAACCATAAAGTAGACCTTACCAGTGAAAGTGGAGAGGGAAGCAGAGAGGGAGGCAGTGAGGGAGGCAGGGGAGAAGGCACTGTGGGCCCTGATCAGCCGGGGCTCCCTGTGGCTGCAGGGACAGAAGGAAGAACGGAGAGCATGAGAACAGCAAGTAGAAAAGCTCTTCATACGGCCAGGAATTAGCCTGCTATTGGTTCTTCATAAGTGCACTATTTAATTCGGAGGTTTTTTTAACTGTCTTCATACTTTAGGACTTTTAAAGAGTTTCCCTACTTTACCTGCAGTAGATGATTATACAGTTGCATTAATTTTAGGGATGCACGATATTGCGATTTTGGCCGATATGCCGATATTTTAAAACTCATGTAGCCGATAACCGATATCGATACTGATGTTAAAGCTGGACAAAAATAAGTAGTTATTGAAAATAGCAGTTTTATCCATTTCTGACACAAAAATAATATACTCAAATATATTTTCATATGCTGATATCAAATTGATTTTTAAAAACGCGGTATCGATCTATTTTACTTTCAAAGTCTCATGAAATTTCATCGTTCTGTTACAAACTCTCGTGATATTTTGCAAAATTCTTGTGAGATTTTGTTAGTAAAATAGATCGATACCGCGTCAATATATCAACATATAAAAATTTGGCAAAATTTCGTGAATTTTCGGGGGATTTCGTAGCATAACGATGACATATAGCAATATTTCATTAGTAAAAGAGATTGATATGGTGTTTTTAAATGGCAATATATCAGCATATGAAGATATTGTGATATTTTAATGTATCAATATTTTTTCCCTCGTCTTTAGAAGTTTTTAAGTCTGTAAAAGTTTTTGAGGAAGAAGAAGAAGTAGTATTTTTTATTTTTTTTTTAGACTTTAGAAACTCAGAAGCTGATCAAATATCGGGTTAAATATCGGTGGGGTGGCCGATGTCCGATATTCAGTTTTAAGGCCGATACAGGCCGATACCGATAGGGGGCCGATTTTATCGTGCATCCCTAATTATTTTATTTAGATCAGTTTAGATCCCTTAGATTTAGGCCTGGATCAGTTTGTCCTGGCAGCTGACGTCTCCTGTCTTATAAACAAGTCTAACTGGATTTTTTTCTTTTTTTAAAGCTAGATGGATGTTGGAAGTAAGCATTTTCTATCAAAATTACTACAAAATAAATAGGAAAACGTATAAATAAAATGAATAAGTCATAATTGGTTATTATTTTCACTGGTCAGACTCTTTGTGTTAAGCAGTCTATTTGCTTCATTTCATGTTTAAATGCTATCTAGATTTATCTTAGATTAGCCTGATAAACCAGACTAAATGTGAGATTAAATGTGTACTCGCCGGCAAAAATTATTTTGGCCGCTGGCAGTTGGGGCTAGTTTACTAGGCTAAGCTTAGATAACATCTTGAAAAAAAACACGAGTACTTTCATAAGGTTTAAAAAATAGATTTTACCTGAACATCTATAACAATTTTCAGATTGAAGATGGAAATTCGTGGTGTGATATAACTTCCAATTTTATCATATGCAAAAGTTTAACCATCAGGAACTGAAATTAAAATTCTCAGAGTGAATCTGGATGTACAAAATTAATCGTATTGGTTTGAAAGTGAATTTCATTTACATGAAACTGCATTCAAAATGTGAAATCATATAAAACCTGCCTTAATGATTAAAAACTGTTTTTTAGTTTAGAATGTATGTAATGCATTGAAAATTCACTTCAACCAATTTAAATTTCAGTTCTAGTATTAAAATGTATTTCCTGCCACATCCTAGCTGCTGAAAGACCAGAGTAACCAAACACAGACTGGTGTGATGTTATATTTGGTGAAGGTATGGGGCTGAATTTAGACCTGGAGAAGAGGAGCAAACAGGAGCTTGGTGGACATCCTGCATCAGGTCCAATGATCAGCAGCAAACTCTCAAGTTTGTATTAAAAGTTATCATATGGATAAGAAGCATCAGGTAAACAGATGATTGGCTAACTATTATACCTATGATTCTTGTTGTTTTTAGTTTAATATGCTAAGTTAGCATAGTGCTCAACGAAGTCACTATCTGATCTGTACTATGGCCTCATGTCAGGAATCCAGTTTGTGTGGTCTGTTTTTGTGTTTCCTTTATTCCTCCACCAGGTGGTGCCCCGTCCTCATTGGGTCTCCCTGCACACCTGCAGCTCGTTGCCTCATTACCTGTTGAGTGTTCTTAAAGCTGCTGACTGCCACTACCTCGATGCAGAGTGTTTGCCAGTTTGGGGTACTCTAGCCATGCTTAGTTTACCACAGCCTAACCTGAGTTTTGTTTTGCCAGTTTGGGTACTCTAGCCAAGCTGAGTTTTGGCTGAGTCAAACTAAGCTTTTGTTATCCTGAGTTTAAATCTTGCTGTTTTTGTCTTTGCCTCTCGGCAGGAAGTCATCCTGCAAACTGGATGTTTCGGACCTTCTCTCCCCTGGAAGGATCTTCTGAGAACCAAACTGAGCTGATTCAAGTTTGTGGTTTGGATCAACCTTTTCCCCCCCAAGGATCATCTGGGGCTTCTCTTTGCGCAGAGGATTCATCTCCACAATAACCCGTTCAAGTACCGCAGGAAATCTAAGTGGCAGTCAGCTTCTCCGTTCATCAAGGAACAACCGCAACCTGGGTAAACCCTGTCCGCCCTCCATCAACAAGACAATCACTGGAACATCCCACACAGACTGGATTCAATCGGTCTGCGCCAGGTGACGTCAATGTTTACCTCGGGCGTGGTGCATCGTGGGAAAACCACCATAATAGGTGGAAAGTCGAGATAACCCACACGCGGCTGTTCTTTCGGCACAATTATTTACCAGAAATGACACGATCGTGTTGTGTGAGAGGCTGCCAGTCCCGGTGTCGTGCCAAGGTAGTTATCCCTGCGAAAATTTGTATCCCCTCGTCGGGAGCGCGCACGGAGTAGGAAGAACAACCCGAGTTAACTCCGCTTCAATTCCAACGTCCAGAACTTGAAATTTGAAAGGTTTTATGTGTATGAAAGTTGAGCTTTACTGTTTTATTCTTTACTTCACATGTTATAGCAGAATATCGCCAGTGATATTGATCTAAAACTAATAATAAACACAAACGTTTGCTTGAAAGCTGGTCGCTGACAGCAGTGTCTACTCCTCCCTCTGAAAGCAAACAGATCCTTGTTCTTTTCCACACGTTCATTAAAAAAAACCTCTCATTGTTTCACAGTGTCCAAATGTTCTCATCCCATTGAAAACTGTTGTAAACCATATACTTGTAATAAAAATGAAATAGAAAATGGAGTGCACGTGTAATCATTAAAGACTATATGCAGAAGGAAAATATTTCTTCCTGGTTGAAATTTAGTACTTAAATCTATATCTGTGTTTATAGTAACGTACAATTTATCTATGTTGTACTATCCTTAATAAACAGTTTGTCTTCTAACATCAGCCATTTTATTTCATCCCATATTGCCAGAACTGGCAATATGGGATGAAATAAAACCTGCTGTAATCTGTTACCCCAGTCTAAATCAGGCAAAAAAAAAGGCCCCATCTTTTTCATTTTTGGCTTTTAAACATCTTTTATGATGACAACTAACTCCTGAAACTTTGGAGTTGATTAACCTTTATTTCTTAAAGTTATAAGGGGGGAACAAATTATAGCAGGCCACCTGCTATAATCTGTTCCCCCTGTCTAAATCAGGCAAAAAAGGTCCCAGCTTTTTTCATTTTTGGCTTATAAGCATCTTTTATGATGACAACTAACTCCTGAAACTTTGGAGTTGATTCATTTTTGGCTTATAAGCATCTTTTATGATGCAAAAAATGAAAAAGCTGGGACCTTTTTGGCCTGATTTAGACAGGGGAGAACAGATTACAGCAGGTGGCCTGCTATAATTTGTTCCCCCCTTATAACTTTAAGAAATAAAGGTCAATCACATCAAAAGTTTCAGGAATAAATTGTCATCATAAAAGATGCTTATAAGCCAAAAATGAAAAAGCTGGGGCCTTTTTTGTCTGATTTAGACAGGGGGAACAGATTACAGCAGGTTTTATTTTATCCCATATTGCCAATTATGGCAAAATGGGGTGAAATAAAACGGCTGATGTTAGAACACAAACTGTTTATTAAGGATAGTACAACATAGATAAATTGTACGTTACTATAAACACAAATATAGATTTAGGTACTAAATTTCAACCAGGAAAAATTATTTTCCTTCTGCATATAGTCTTTAATGATTACACGTGCACTCCATTTTCTATTTCATTTTTATTACAAGTATATGGTTTACAACCGTTTTCAATGGGATGAGAACATTTGGACACTGTGAAACAATGAGAGATTTTAAAGGAACGTGTGGAAAAGAACAAGGATCTGTTTGCTTTCAGAGGGAGGAGTAGACACTGCTGTCAGCGACCAGCTTTCAAGCAAACGTTTGTGTTTTATAATCAGTTTTAAATCAATATCACTGGCGATATTCTGCTACAACACGTGAAGTAAAGAATAAAACAGTAAAGCTCAACTTTCATACACGTAAAACCTTTCAAAATTTCAAGTTCTGCACGTTGGAATTGAAGCGGAGTTAACTCGGGTTGTTCTTCCTACTCAGTGCGCGCTCCCGACGAGGGGATACAAATTTTCGCAGGGATAACTACCTTGGCACGACACCGGTACGGTAATTTCGCATTCTGTTTACTTTTTTCCATATAGTCAGAGAAACAAACTCAATCCTTTAGTCCTTCGTTTAGCTATGTTGCGGTTGTTTACACTACGCCTTTTCCACCAAAAATGGCGTCTTAGCAACAAATGTCACGTGACTGGCGGAGACCGATAAAGGACACCTTTTTCTGGTAACGTGAGTCTGCAACCTATTCCTCCTCTTCAAGTCAAAGAATAAAATTTCCCACTGAGCCTGAACTAACCGCAGTGTCTTCCCCTCACTTTCCAGTTCCGGTTCGAAGGTGTTCAGAGCAGCACTGAGCTCATCTCATTATTCTAAATAAACCTGTTAAACTTCTGCATTCGGGTCCGATCTTTAGTTAAATCATGACACCTCATTTGCGCATGCAACCAGAAATTCATCCAGGTTACCATTAGATAATGAAAATAAGATTCCAAATGTATTTTTTAAGTCGTTAAAATATTCAAGCCTGCTAAACCACATCGTACAAAATATCTATTGCTGAGAGAATGGATGCGTTCACATTATTTGTTATATTGCTTGTAATAATTGCTGATGACATCATCAGTATTGCTGATTAGGGGTGTAAATAATAATCGTTTTGTATCGATGCATCGATCCAACAGCCAACAATCCGATGCACCGACACGTCCGCAAGATGATCGATTCATGTTTTTTTTTTTTTCCTCAGGTCTATTTTTATCCATTTGCTCCTGGGTGTAATTCTCCCTCCCGTGCTGCGGTGGCGCTAAACCTATTTTGCCCTCCTACCTCGCTTCCTGGTTATACTCTTACAGCAGTGTGTTGCAGCAAGCTTGACACAGACATTTTTAAATTATGCTCAATATTGAAGCGTGGTCTGTGCTACACGCTGTGGGTCTAGATACGGCCGAGGCGGTGAGGAAGTGGGGGTGAGTTTAGTCCGATGACGGAGGGACATGAGGGCCAAAAAGAGCGGAGATCCAGCTGGAAAAAGGGTCCCAGCGTTCTCGTGCACCTCGCTCTTCTAGCGGGTCAAACTTCACGAGTTGTTTTCCGCAATTTCGGTCATAAAAACAAAACAAGCCGGCCTCCTGTCTGCGGCACTGTTTGGGGTCAGCTACAATTTGGGAGAGGTGCAGCGGAGCGTCTCTCAAGGGGGCGGTGACGTCTGGAGCCGAATTGCACCCATTGCACTGATTTTGTGCAGAAATTTTGCAGTATTTTTTTATGCAACTTTTCTACTTCTGTTATTTGCTGTTGTTTCTAAAAAAAAAAAATGCATAACGATATTACAGCTTTCATTGCTTTATTTCAAACTTGAAACTTTGTTTAGCCTGTAAGGTCTAAAAAAAAATAAAAATATTAATCGATTAATCGAATCGAATCGTGGTGTATTCTTGAGTATCGAAAATAATCGAATCATTGGGTCAGGAAATCGATACTGAATCGAATCGATATGATATGATTACACCGTGTTTATCTGTATTTTAGCGGCATCATTCTTTAGCTTAAGCACTTTATACTGTATAGGTACGATAAAATGCAATGATAAAACCAAGAAAAATGACAATTATTAACAATCAAAAGCAGAACAATATGCCTTCTGGAAGTAGGGCAGGGATTGCATTTCCTGGACAGATCGCGTAGAGATGAGTGATACAATAGGATGTAAATGCATTAATTCTTGTGACCCTGCTTATATTTCTGGATGCGCAAATGAGCTGATGGTACGGATCGGGTTGTGACAAACTGGTCTTTGATCAACAGTGTACCTGTTAGTGCAGCAGCTGTTGATGGATGTTATTGAGTGGGACAGCCCATATTCACCTGGATGACATGCAGGGGCATTTGTTTTCCCGATGCTTCTTATGCATTTAAGAAAACAAAAAAACAAAACAAATACGAGTTTTGCTGCTAGTTTTTTGGCATTACGTGAATCTGTGTTGGATTACTCTGGTTTTATTCAATGAACCCAGATGTGTGGCACAAAATCAAGAATTGAAATTTAATTCTGGAACAGGAAGTAAAATGATTCAAACTGAATTTTCAAGGTCATAAAATATATTTTAAGAGAAATTTGTTCCGTTTTAGATTATTTAAAAACAAATTTCATTTAGTTTCATGTCATCAAATAAAGCTTCCAACATTCACTTCCAAAAAAAAATGCACTTAATTAAAAATTTTGCAAATAGATTAACTCTGTGGGATTTAGACTCTTTATTTATGATCATCTTCTTATAGTTTCTTCATCTGGAAGCAAAATGTAAAGAACTAAAGATGGTGACTCCAGATTTTGTACAGGATTGTTTATCAAATCTACTGATCACTGCAAATATTAAGTATATCCCTGTTTTAGGATTGTTTTGTATAGATTGTCGTATGCAGGATGGAATGTTTAAATCTATTTGTTTTATTTCAAACAAAGTGCTCAGCCTTGTTTTCTGACCTGTAGACTATTCTGCGTATCTGCCGGTTTGCTGATGTTTGTATTTTTCTAGAACTATTATCATGGTCTGATTCTTTTATTGGACCCACCTGTCAGCATCCTGTTCAGCTCCAGAACCACCTTCCATGTCCACCAGACTCACAGCTGAGGATACTGAATAAGACACTGAGGGCCTTTTGTCCAGGATGTGAGTCGACCCGCTGCAGCTTTTAGTCCGGAACAGTTTACTCAGGCGGGTCTTCAAAGAGTTCTTCTTGGACTTCCCTGGAACCTTGAATGTCTTGTCTCCGCCTGCGGTTCGGTATGTGGGGGTCCTGGGGCCACCGGTGCACCGCTTTGCCCTTCTGGGAGTGGAGGACTGGCTTGGGTTTGGGCTAGTGGTCCAGGGTGAGTTCTGGACAGGTGTTGATGTCTTTGTTAATGCCTGAGTGGAACTTTCTGGACCAGCGGTTCCTGGCTGGCCAATTTCCTCCATCTGTGTCCTCAGTTCCACCTGGAAGCTGCTGATGGAGAAAGCCCCAGACATCTTTTGGATTATTTCTCTTTTCCTTTGGAGTAAAAACTCCCTGTGTCCATCATCAGCATCCAGCTCCTCCCCAGGGCCCTCCTCCATGCCCCTACCCCCCAGCCCCTCCAGGACCAGCAGAGCATCGCTGGTCTCTGTGGGGTCATCCCTGGGTTCTGCTCCCTGGGCGCCCTGACAGGAGCACTGCGGCAGCTCCGCTCCTTTCAGCAGCATCCTGGGTACCGCTCCTACCCCCAGCTCCCCGAACCGCCGGGCCAGCTCCAGCACCGCCTCCTGCTGCTCCCTGCAGCTCTCAGGTCCGGAGGTGTCCGCCAGCAGAGGCCAGGCGTTGGGGGTGGTAATGAACCGATGGCACAGCTCTGCGGCTCCCGGACCCTCCGCGGCTGAAGGGACTGGAAGCTGCGCTGCTGACGGTGTCTGACCCATCGGGTCCCGGGGCCCCTCTTCTCCAGCAGGGCGGTTGTTGTTGACAGCTGGGCTCGGTTCCAGTGCGTCCCTCGGCGCAGGGAGACGGTCCAGATCTCCGCTACGCATAATGTTGGAGAAGACAAGCAGCTGCGGGCGCAGGCCGGGGCTGGGGACAAAGTCAAACCCCTGGGGCCCCATGGAGCCCTGGGTTGTCTGCTTGGGGCCCTGCGTCCCCCCGCTGTCAGCTGCAGCCGTGGTCTCGCTGCTCTGGCCTTTGTTCTGCGGGCTGCAGGGACGCTGCAGGCCCGGCTCTCGGCTGATGTCCAAAGCCGGTTTAACGGCGCTGTTAACCAGCGCGTCCTTCCCCTTCCCGGCCACCGTCCCCCCAGACTGAACGTTCCCGTTTTCTGAGTCCAGGCGGCCATCCTCGGCGGCGGACACCAGGCGCATCAACACGAAATCAGGCGACATATCCTGCGCGTTGTTCATAATTATTTGACAGGATGACGAAATGAAAATCACAAAGCGTTTCGCATCGCTGACAGAGATGCGGTCCTTAGAATAAAGAAAGGATCGCGTCTCTCCTGCCTGTCATCGCCTCTCCAGGCTGGAGGCTGAGCAACAATGCACTGATGTTTTTCTCCTCCTCCTCCTTCAGGACAGAGCAGCATCCATCTGTGACTGATGGGGAAAATGTCTGCAGCTCCGGTCCAGCAGCAGGCCGATCCTGGGTCACACATGCGGGTTGATTTGATGCTGGAGAAATAAAAACTGGAGGATTCTCCGGTCATTGAGCACAATCTGTCTCTGATCCCAGCCTGGCTCCACCCGCTCCGCTCATCCTCCTCATCAGCACCAACGATCTGAACCAAAGCTTTCACATATTGATTTTGTCGTGTTTTTTTTCATAAGCCAATTTTCAGATAAATAAGCAAATATAAACATAAAATTAAACAAAACATAAATAATATATATAATATAATAATATTTTTGTTTATTCATCTACTTCATGAATGGCTGGTTCTAAATGGGGACCAGCAGGGGCCAGTGCCCCAGCAGAACTGGATGGCCCCTCCATTGAAGGCACCAAATCAGTTTTAGATCATGATATGCATTAGCACAGAAACTGTACAGGTTTAGTTTAACAATTATTATAAAATTGCATCTTTAGCTTCAGTTATATAGGATAGATCAGGATCTCCAGGCACAGCCTCGTAACCAGCATTTTGAACACTGAGGTCATGTCCTCCGTATTTTCCCGTTTATTTATTTTTTTAATCATTATTTTTCAATTCAGAAAAATGTCAAACTATATGATGAAAATTGTTCTGGCTTTGATTGGTGCAAAGATCAGAATGCATTCTCGTTTGTTAAAAAAAAAAAAGTCAACCATATATTGTTGCAAGTCATTTGATTCCTTTCGTGAGACATGCACATGATGATGGTGACAATAATAATAGTAGTAATAATAATTCAATATTAATAACAACAATAATAATATACTATAATGATAATAATAATAACACTCACACACTTAAATACTCTAATTTTGTGAGCTTTGGAATTGTTATAACAAACATGTTCATATTCACCTCCTTGATGGGCTTGTGATTTATTTCTCTTTATTCATGTTTCCAAAATATATAAAAAAAAAACATATTAGGATGTTTTTTGTCAAGTAAGATTTATGTCAATATTCAACATATTCTCATTATCAGTTCGTAGGAAATCATACGAAAAGTTATGCACAGTATTTCGTACGTTTTTAACGTTTTTTCTCGAAAAAAACTGATCCGTGCGCAACCAGACAGACGAAAAAAGCAGATCTGCGGACGGACGTAAAACTGGGAAAGACAGTGCAATAATTACTTCTTGGTGTCTCTAACTACATTGCTTGCTGTTTTGTATCTTAGGGTTAGGTGTAGGAATAGGTGTAGGGTTAATTGTAGGTTAAATTCTATGTTATTAAATGGTGCGTAAGATGCGCATGCGCAAGGATATCTTGTCTCGAGGCAAGACGTAAAAATACAACGAAATACGACGAAAAAAGCACCAAAAACGTCAGAAATTACTGTGCATCACTTTTCGTACCATTTCATACGAACTGATAATGAGAATACACTGCAATATTTGACCTCGGTATTTCTAAAATCCTGGTTACGGCCCTGTCCAGGCATGAAAGGAATTTGGCTTTCTTGATGTATCAAATAATGAACTATTGTCCTGTATTTTTGATTTTATTCTTTTGTTATTTGCCCAAAAGAAAAGCCTCCTGGCCCCTCAGATGGAACTGGTTTAGAACCACTACTGACTTCAATTTTGTTTTTTAATTTGGAATCAAACGAGATTTATTTCCCTGCAACCTTTTCATAAGAGTATTTTATTTGTGTAATGTTGAAATCTGCAATTCCCAAAGCAACAAAATCTTCATTCTTCAATTAGAAATAAAACATTAAATCAAAATTATAATAAAAAAAAAGGGTTGTAAAAAAATCCTTGAGTTTAACTTAAAAAAGTTTCACAAAATAGATTTAGATTGACTTATAGCTTAAAAAAAAATACACATTTTGAGTTAAAACAAATACATTTTGAAGAAATGTATTTAAGAAACAATAGTATTTTAGACAATCCAGTAAAATTACAAATTGAATGAATAGAAATATATTGCAGAGGTAATGATAATATATATTCACATTTTTTTTATAACAGGCTTCCTTTGTCTTAAAGAGCCACAAAACACATGTAGGGTGGTTCAAACTCCCCTCCAGGATCTGCTGAGGGTGTAGAGCTGATCCAGTGTTCTATGGCCAGGATGAAAGAACACAGCTCCTCCTGAGAAAAAAATTGTACCAACAGGTTTCAAATATCATGTTATTAAGCCTATCTCAACTTTCACAAATACACATATGTGATTCATACATGCACAGGATAAGATCCACACACGCACAGCACAACTCACACAAGCACAATAAAATCTACACACACTTGTGGAAAAGATCAGAACAGGTTCAGGAAGGCTCAAAGGTCCGAAGACAATATGGCTCAGGATCAGGCAATCAGAACACCAACAGGTAAGCTACAGAACTGTCACCGAAGGCTTGAATTATCTGGCACTGAATACTGGGAACAAGCAATCTAAATAGAGACTAGAGCAGGTGACACAGATAAACAGTGTTGAGAAACTGGGCAGAGCTAGACAGGTGAATGGAATGAACCATTAAGCCAGTCATTGGTGCCAAGATCATGACAGTTTTAGTCTGTGAGGCAGTCATCCTGTGCACTTTTAAGGAAAGGCATAACAGTTTCCATTTTGATAAAGCTTATAGTTTATAGTATAATTGAACTTTATCACCTCACATTGGAGGAATTTACCTCTGCATTTAACCTATCCCCATAGGGAGCAGTGGGCTGCCAGTGTGGGGCGCTCAGGGAAGAATCAGGGGTTAAGGGTCTTGCTCAGAGATCCAGACTGGCAGTCTGTGGGAGTGGGTTTTAAACTCACAACCTCAGGATTCCAAGCTCTATGTCCTAACCACTTGGCTGCCACTCCTCTCACTGGGCCGCCACTCCCCAGTGTAGTTTGATTGGCTCATTGTTATCCTGTTATCTCTGTAGTTATGCTGCTATAGGCTTAGGCTGCAGGAGGACATAGGGACCAGTTTTCACGATTCTGCTTCATTTTATCTATATTCTCCCATTCTGAAGTAATTGTTATTTCACCCCCTAACTGGATGCCCCCTCTATTTTTTTTCTTATAGTAGCCTCATCTGTTTTTCTTGTGTATGGTTTTTAAACCATCCTGAAGGGAAACATTAGCTAGGGGGCTGCCATCATCACCTCCAATTATTGATGATAAATGTGGGCCTTTTTTTGTGATTAGTCCTGTCTCTCTCCTAGACATATCTATGGACTGTGCTCTTACAGTGATTGACTGGATGTGCCCTCTTTTATCCATTTTGACACGAAAACTGACTCATAGCTCATCTGCTTACCTGTCACCCCATGCTCATTCAGAAGGAGTGATAGAAAACTTTTAACCAATCATACTGTGTGATCTGAGTGAATTGTATCTGTTAAGTGCCTCGGGATAGCTGTGAAGAGGTGCTATGTAAATATAATTTGTTGAATTAAAATTCATAGAATTTTGGGAAAACTATAACAAAACAACATGCAATGATAATAAATAGGGATGCACGATATAATCGGCCCCCTATCGGTATCGGCCTGTATCGGCCTTAAAACTGAATATCGGACATCGGCCACCCCACTGATATTTAACCCAATATTTGATCAGCTTCTGAGTTTCTAAAGTCTAACAAAAAAATTTATAAATACTACTTCTTCTTCTTCCTCAAAAACTTCTTTTTTACAGACTTAAAAACTTCTAAAGACGAGGGAAAAAATATTGATACATTAAAATATCACAATATCTTCATATGCTGATATATTGCCATTTAAAAACACCATATCAATCTCTTTTACTAATGAAATATTGCTATATGTCATCGTTATGCTACGAAATCCCCCGAAAATTCACAAAATTTGGCCATATTTTTATATGTTGATATATTGACACGGTATCAATCTATTTTACTAACAAAATCTCACAAGAATTTGCAAAATATCACGAGAGTTTGTAACAGAACGATGAAATTTCACGAGATTTTGAAAGTAAAATAGATCGATACTGCGTTTTTAAAAATCAATTTGATATCAGCATATGAAAATATATTTGAGTAGAATGTTTTTAGAGCATAAACAGTAGTGAATTAAATGCACACTGAAATAATTATATATTTTTTTTAATAAAATGAAGACATATTTTATTAAATTAATGACATATTTATATATTTAATTCCTTATTTATTTAATGAATTACACATTTAATTAATTGTTTATTGCTGTATTTATTTATTTAATTGTGGCACTTTATATTAGTGACGTGGTTGTAATTAATGAATGACACATTTATTTATTTAATTCCACATTTAATTAATTATTGACACATTTAATTATTTATTTAATGCTGTATTTATTTATTTAATTTTGGCACTTTTTATCCTCCATACACAGCAGGTCTGTTTTAGGAGGACCATTTTTATGCACAAGCACAGCTGACAATTTGGCACAGTAACAGCAGCACCTACTATAAGTAAGAGTGAGGAATAACAAAGGTTTTTGCCTTCTTATTGATTGAAAGAACAGTAAAGTACTTATCCTCTCTAGTTAAGGATTGATTTATTGACTAAAATCACTTCATGTTCCACATGTAAGATGCTTCCTTTTGGAAGCCCAGCAGATTGGAAAAGGTATTTTTAAAATAACATTATTTAAAATGTTGACCCTTGTAAAATCACAAAACAAACATCTCCACTGTTTGTTTCCAATTTTCTTTCTGATTAGGCTGTTGCTTTGTCACTATAATCAGTCCGCCTGCTAAATATTTTTTGTCCACTTGATGGCACAATAGAGCAAAGGATTCACCAAACTTTAATATGCTTTCATTATTACATACACACACACGCCCCACCCCCCTTATCTGCTTAATATCTGCTTACCTGGTATAAGACAAAACACATAAAAAGATTTTAAAGCTACAGTGTGTAATTTTCAGCGACATCTAACGTCCAGACTGCAGACTGCAGCAACATGAACATCTCCCCCCCACCGCTTCTCCCCCCCAACAGTACGGCGAGCGTTACGGGACAAAATGTCTTCCACGACGTCCGCATCACCTACCTTCTCAAGTGATGAGGTTTGTTTACATAGATAATTTTACAGATGGTATTTCATTAGTCTGTGTAGGGTATAGATTTCATGTAGACTTAAGATAATAAATATACCCGTAATGGGCGATCTCGCAATCT